TAACACTCTTTCAAGATTGATGTGGATGATAATAGGTTCTAAAATCAAGCATTGTCTTAAACGCAATAGAAAATACTGAATTAACTGCAGGAGCTCGTTTGACGAAATTTCCTGTATGATCTAGTCATTAAAAGTTCCTTTCTAAATAACGGTGTTTAGATTCACGATAGAAATACCAATAATTTTGCAAGGCAATTATGATGATAACAACATGTGTTGAATATGAGATTTCCAATACTATTATTTTTGTCAGGGCTCGTTGTTCTTTCGAATTGATAAACATAAATGCAACAGTAACTGCAGAAAAATCTTGCTGCAATTTAGAGACATAACCGATAAGTGACTCTATCCATTCCTCTCTCGCAATACCTATCATCTGTGAAATCCAGTACACCGGCAGTGAAAAAGATTGCAGAGAAAATCTTGCAACATTCATACAACGTTTGGGAACTAAAAATCCGAAGATGGTGCCTTCTCTTGGAAAGAAAGTGCTTTCTTTTTCCTTGCATTCAGCGGCGTGACTCACTTACTCTAATACTGGAAACTCTCGCGTTCACATTTTGGGTATAGTTCTTTCTCAACTCGGGGAAAATTTTCAATAAAATCAGACATGTCTTCTTCGGTTGACGAGAAGGTGGAGGTATCATTCTCCTGAGTGACTTCCCTGGCTATTAGCATTGGCTGACATGTTTCGCAAGTTGCAGTACCTCGAAATGTTCTCCACAGTAAGAGCACGCTTCAGACGTGTTTTCCGTATCATCTTGGGCTGCGCATGCACTCAGCTTGGAACATTCAGATACATGTTCAGTTAGCTCAGATACTGGTAAAAATTTGGAACGGAGTGTGCATCTTTCTTTCGATTCTTCTTTCTCAAAACCAGATTCAGTGACAGGTGGTAAAATGGGTGGTAACTATACTAAGAGAGTCGGAACTTAACTTTTGGGCTTTCTCGGTTGAACAAGAGATCTTTGTTACAGGGTTCTACCTGCCCATCCTTTCCCTGCCTGGAGTCGCAACTTGCAACACTCGATTTGTCAATGATGTATGCTTCAGCACATTTCACATTTTGAAATACAATGAATGTCGACTGAATACAACAAATCACACATACAAGGCATTTTGAAGAAAAATGGAAAAAAATACAACACTGCATAATTTTGTATTGTTTCTTTGGAGAAGACATTTCAAAAACTCGTGCTTCGGGTTTCATCAGGTTTCCAAACGCGAGAAAACATTTGAAACCACGAGGCCGCAGGCCTCGTGGTTTCAAATCAATCCTAGCCCCATTCCGCGCGGCTATCCATATATGTTTGACTTTCGCGCCGATCAAGCAAATAAAAAAGGTGTGAGCTCGGGTTAAAAGGTAATCACGAGTACATTCTTATGCCAGCCGTATTCTAAAATCGTCAGGTAAAATGCTCTTTCTTCGAGAGTCCCGTGTTCCTTTTGTTATTAGCATTGCCTATGTTAAACATATTTCTTGTTATTTGTTTTTCCTGTTCTTTCCAATCTTGTAATTAGTCGTTCCGTTCTTGATATATTATGTTCGTAATACTTTACTCAAAAACCACTGGCAATGAAGTGTAAATAAGAAAAGTTCGGTGGAGTCGTTAGGAAATTAATTTCCTCTTAAATTCATTGCCGATGCGTTGGTTACATGGTTCCTTGGAAGAGTCTTACGCCTAGAAAACGTACCTCGTTAGCGCACCTAGTGGTTTTCATGCGAAGCAGAAAAGTGTGAATGCATTTAAAGGAGCTCCCAACTGAAAGATCAGTTATGATGTATAGATTAATTCTTATAGAAAACTGACGATGATGATTCATAGTTCGACAATTAGAAATTCTCGAAAGAGCTCTGTTATAGAGTTTAAAAGCGTAATCAGTGTTTTCAAATATCTGCCTAGCATGACTTTTCTCTCGATCAATAGTCGCTATCCAATCGAGAAGCTTTGTTCGATCCTCTTGATATTTCTCGTAAGCCGCTTGATATATTTCTCAACGGCGAGATCGTGACGCTTCTTCCCCCCAGCAGGAAGAATTATCACTGACGAGGTAATTAGCTAAGTAACCTACTCCAGTGAAGGCGGTAGCATTTAGAAAAGCTCCTTCTAACATTAATGCGATGATTCCCATTTGTATTTCTTTTGCGTACACAAAGAAAATCTTTCAATAGCATTTTAGAGTTCGCTCTTCTAGGTGATCTTTCAGACGCATGGCGTACACCTAGATGGTGTACACCTCTAAGTTTATAATATTTTGTCCAGTTTCTTCTTAAGTCTGTCTTCCAGCCTTATCTTTGGCAGGTTCAATCTACTTCCAATCTCATATTCGACGCAAATTCTCAAGAGGAGTACAAACGCTTCTACGCCAAAGCATAATCCAGCAAAATAGAAAATGCAAAAAGAAAATTTTTTATGAATTCTGGAAGGATCTTTGGATTTCCTAGATACTCCTTCGTAGCCAGAGAGGCTGCGAAGACCACTGTGAACTTCACATAATTAATCTGATTGGAACTAGGATCTGAAGTCGTAAGCTCTTTGATCACCCTCTTGGCAACCTATCCAAATCCAGCTACGATTCCAGTTATCGTCGTAGCATCCAAGACCGTTTTAAAAATCGAGAGGACATTTCATGGAAAAAAGGGTCAATCCGCTGTGCAAATTTTATCTCTATCACTGGAATTTTAGAAGGGGCTCGTTCTTTGGAAGATTATTCGGCTTTTCTAAGAGGGTTCATCTTTTTACTTACTCAGAGGAGCCATGATCTCCCTCCTTTTGTATTAGATACTAAACAGAGAAACAAGGAGACTTACAAGTGAAATGATTTGAACCATCCAGATCAATGTGGACTCTGGTGAGACTGAATTGGATTTAGAGATTGGCTGCTCTGGTTCAATCCTTTTCGTTTCGCCCCTCTCACTTTTTTTATGATCCGCAAGTCTTTTCTCGACTGCAACTCTTCTTGGATCTATCTCTGGTTTTGTTTTCTTCTCAGTTGAAGGTAACTCCTCTGCAAGTGGAACTTGTCCTTCAGGTTGTGTTTTTAGCTGACTGGTTTCTTTACCATCCATTTTAGAATCACACCAGAGAAAAAGAATCACCGCATAATTTATAATGATGATCTGATGTCCTTTGCCGATGGCGTATAGAAAAGAACTAATGCGGCGATATTCTCTGTGAAAGACTTTGCAATGCTGTTCATCTGCTGTGTGAGTACCCAAACACTTATTCCTTTATGCCTTGTGCTGAGTGAGAAAAGTGAAGTGTTATCATCAAGGCATTCTCACCTTAAATACTGAAGCGTGAACTCCCTCACGGAAGTGTTCACAGACGCAAAAGCGACAGAACTCGAAGCATCTAATAGCAAAAGCGAGGACTCCAAGTTAAATTTTTGGAGTAGGTAAAAAGGCATTTGACGTGCTCACCACAGGAGAGAAAACCGGCCGTCAGCAGTTAAATCCAAAACCTACTAAAGAGACTAAGGGAGCTCTCAGGTACACTCGTTAGAAAGGTTTTAGCCAGATCGATGTTTCTCTTTGTGTTCTCAACCTTTTTGATCTCGCAATAAATTTTTAAAAAAACCAATATTTCGGGGACCGGTTTTTAAAGCGAGTTGAAGTAACGGATGACAGCCATTTATTTCAACGGTCATATACTTCATCGAGAGAGATCTACCTCGATATCTATTTCTCGGGATTTGATAATTTTTATTGAAGTGTCTCGATAAATTAAACATTTACTATAGCATCGTATGATGAATTTTGTGGAGAAAAAGAGGCTCAGAACGGAATATTTTGCGTTTGATCCTTTAATCGTGGTTACCAAAAAATTTTACAGCCGTGATTAAGCTGCCTTGAAAAATTCACAAGAGTTCTGTGATAGCGAACGTCAAAAACAGGCTCGCAATCTTTATTTGAAGGCGGGAAGTATTTGACTGTAACACATGCACTACTATTGCCTGCTCATATCGTTTCGTTTCCTTACCTTCTTCAAAGCTATTCCATATCTGAGGCCTATCTTAATTGATCTTATTCAAAAGAAAATAAAACAACATGGAACACATCAATTAAGCCCTGAAACTGTAACATTACCTACTTCCTGTTTGTCTCGCTGAGTAGCAACAAATTGTTAAAACGCTGCACTAGTCTTCGAATTGTGACAAGGCAATTAAGAGATATTAAGCTTACAAATTACTGATTGGCAGAAATCCATTCCTTACTCTTTGAGAGCTAGAACAGGAGAATCTCAGAAGAAATGCGAGACCGAGAGTTCTGGCCCCAGTTCTCTCCTCACCTGAAGATCTTTCATGGATAGAATGCGCGGGATATCAGGGGTTAAAGGGAGTAAGAAAAGTAACTTTCTGCCGCATACCTTTACCTTATTCCAATCTTTTCAATTAATTCTTTCCCACTTGTTGTTCTCAGAAATTTCCTAACGGTTCGCCTGATAGCGCGTTGGTGTGACCTTAGTCATGTGATCTTCATCATCAATCCTTTCAGGGGGGCTGAAGTTAAAATGTAGTCTTCTTCGGGTGGACAGAAGTCTCAGGTGAGTCTCTTTAAATTTAAAATATATTAGGACATTACAAACATATTTCCTATCCTCAGCCTTCCAATCGAGTGAAGATGGTAGGCAGTCAGCCTTCTTGAGTAAAGTTTTGGCTGCAGACTTTTTATGGCAAATAGAGTGGTGAGAATCGAAAGCGAGGTATTTGTCGGTGTGGTTAGGGTTACAGTAGACACTTGTCTCCAAATTACCCTAAACCCCTCTGGACACAGTTAAATCAAGAAAGGGCTATCCTTTTC